CAACTCTTGGGTTACTCTTTTACCAACGAATAGTGGGATTAACCGTCACTTTATAACGCCCTAACGGCTGAAAGGGCGAACATGTGACAGGGATTCGAACCCGCGACCCTCAGATTGCGAGTCGAACGCCCTAACCACCTGGCCATGCCGGGCCTGCATAAAGAGTTATTGATAAAGAAAATAATTCTGTTTCAGTTAATTAAGTACATGTATAATGTCTCTAAACATGTTGATAATCATTATAATTAACGGCTAGGTAGTTATACATGCGTTTTTAAAGCTAATGCCTCTTGGTCGCTCAGTTGTTAGCTTGATGGTTAATATTCGGGAGTTGGTGGGCACGACATGGATAGCTCATTGTGCAGTTTTGAGTTTAACAACAAAACAAACCAACTTTAAAAGTAATAGTTATATAATGCTTTAGTAAAATGAAACATTAATATTCTCCAATGAATCAGCAGAAAGTCTGAGTATTTTTAACGCTGGAATTTGGAGTTCATTCTACACGGCAGATATAGCTAGCGCAAGTACAGGCAGTTTACTATGCATCTCTGTGCTAAAACAAAAGATACAACACGAATAAATAAATAAATACAAACGAACGGAGTAACCAACTCTTCTATGGATTTATTTTCGAAGAGCATATTGTGATTTATCGTTTTGTCACACACCAAATATGGTGTGTTATTCAACAGTATCTCACATGTTTATCAAGAACAACATTGTATCTCTTTACCTAATAATAATAATATTACTGGAATCGTTAATTCAAGAAGAAAGAAAATTCTGTCGAAATTGAGGACTAATGACGTTCAGGTACGTGATTGGTGACGTTTCGCGGGAGTCGGGCTCATGAGAAGCCGCCATTGTTCCTAGTATATCCTGTGTCGTATAATTTTTTCCGATAGTTTAAAACTGTGTTTAAATTCGTGAATTAGTATTAACCAGTATAACACTTTTGCAACAACATATTTAAAATATATATTATTTCTGGTGTTAAAATAATAGGCTTCAAAATATAAGCAAGTTCGTACATAGCCTGGAATGTCCACTAGTGTCGATCAGGTATTTACTACTACTAGTATTACTGCTTTTACTACTACTAGTCCGACTTGTGATGTTGATAATCATAATTACTTAAAGTTAAATCGGGAAGTTAAGTTATTCTGTTATACGGACGAATACAGACTGGTATTTAACACTAATAATAATAACATTAACACTAACAGGGCCAGAAGCAGGCTGAACAGAAAATATATTAAACTTTTGAAATAAATATGAAAACTAAATCACTATTAGTGACTATTAGTATTACCTCTGGGAAGTTTTGATTCACATTAAATCAAAGTCAGTGTACTGCTGATACAGGACTTCAATAACACCGTTAACAGTTCTATATAAATATATTATGTTTATAATAATTTTTAGTGTAATGTCACTGTGAGATCAAATGATTAATGTAGGGCCTATTTTCAGATTTTTCGTTATAACTTGAGTCTTGACTTAGCATTTATGACAGTGTAAAGTTGTATTTTATATTAAACAAATTTTATAATTTGGTATTATTTTCCTTAAAGTTTAACAGTGAGTTAATTACATATGGGACTATGGAGCAAAACCAAAAATTAAAAATGCAGCCTAAGATAAAGAAGTAGCATTGTAAAGACTTGTAGGTCTGTACGTCAGATTTACTTGTACTTGTCGTTTTACATAGTTTTATCAATGTGATTTGTTGTTTTTTCTTTGATAACGTAATAAATGAAAATGAAATTGAGAAAAATAGATATGGAACCTGAATAATGTGACAAACTTGTATTTAATTCTTTCTATGCATTGCACTTGTAATTCTTCTAGAGCTTGTAATACATAAATGACTAGTAAAAAACAACAATACTAACTTCCTGTGTCACTGTTAGTGTTATGTAAGTTATACAAATTATTCCTAATCAATATTATTATTAGTTCTTCTGCAACTCACATGACTGATATGATAATGATAGAGATTTCATACTCTTGGTTCATTATGCATGCCTATTAATGTTTTGTTTACGTTGTTTTCTTATATAGCGCATGAAAGGCCAAGGAAGTTCAGGTAAGGGATTAAAACATAACTACAGTAGTTAATACTTGTAAGTTATATGGATTGGTAGAAACACATAGCATAGGCCTATTTATAATACTGCATTTTACATTATAACTCACAGTATGCTGTTTATACAAAATAATAGCATATAGTTGGTCAAAAATGATGGGACAAGTATTACCACCCCCCATCCCATATTTTTAGCTCACATTTTATAGCTAACTGAAATAAATAAATTTTGCAAAATCAAGCTTGACCAACAAAGAGGCAGAAAAGTGCAGTGGAGGCAGTCAAACTATTCATAGAATAAGTATTGGTAAAAATCAGTTGGATTAACAATTTCTAATATATAGAATAGCCAGTGTGTTTTGGTAACACTACCTTCCAACTATTGTTTTTATGTCATGTTGCTTAGCAACAAAAGTATAACCTAATATTGATGTTAGTCTATGTACTGAAAGTATAAAATGAAATGTATAGACAACAAAACTCGAAAAATATTTGTTGATTTTTTAATTTAGAGTCTTTGTTGATTAGAGGTTTGTTTTTTATAAAAAATGTTGGTGATATAACAGAAAATAGCTTAATTCGGAAACTATTTAAGTTTAATATACAATCGATATTTTTACTTTCATGATAAATTTTATGCACTTGACTCTAGGCTATGTGATACCACACTATGTCTTTACTTTAGGCTTATTATACCAACACTCACTACACTTATAAGGTTTCATGACATCCTTTCACCCCTGTCACTAAAATCATAATGGGCAGACAGTAATTGAACTATTCTATCTGGATAAATGGACTTTGGCTTTTATGACTCCTCTTATTTTGAGAAATAAAGCATGACGTGACACTCACTAGCTTTTATACAGGTTAGGTTACCCTCAAATTGCTTAGGTCAGTATATTAAAGTTACAGTTTAAGTGTAATATTATCACAGATGATTGAAATACATTCAGTTTTAAAGCATGAAATTCTCTGGATATTAATAACATCAAATCATACACGAAGTAAGTTATGTTTGTTAATTGCTGTTAATGGTTTTAACAAGTTGAACTCCTTTATGAAGTTGCATACAAATATTAAACATCTAAGCTACAGCTAGTATGATTTCTGCTAATCCAAAGTTGGAAATGCTTTTCTTCAACAAAACACACAAGTAACATAATACAACAACCAATCTAGTTTTGATGAACTTTAGAAAAATTTTTAAGATTCATGTTAGGCCTAACAACATAAAAAAAAAAAATCTATGCTAGTGTCAAGAGGCAAACATTCTTAGTGCAACAACTTGTTTTTATTGCACATACTTAAAATAAGAGCTTCTCCCTGGGGCATTTTATGTTGAATGCAGTGGTGGCTCGTAGTTAATATGAAGGAAGAGGCTGGCAATATTTTAACCCCCAACCCAAGAAATATAGAATAGTAAGAGAGGTACTTATTTTAGGTGTATGGTTTATTGTACACGACTTCATTATTGATCAATCATAGATGTATAAACATTGTTAACCAACTACTATCATCATACCAGACAAAGCTTTGCTACTGTTCAAACTGTGAAACTCCAAATCAAGATAAACTCTAAATAAACTCATGATAATTAAATTTATGCCATGACTTTGTGAGACTTGTGTGCTTCTCTCATTGCATACTTTTCTTAGAATAATTTTTGTTGTTAAATCTAGATTTTGATTGGCTTCATTAGCTATGAGGCCATCATTAAAGTCTTTGTTAAACCTGGTAAGAAGGCTTGGCTCCTCTTAGCTGTTTCCATCACAATTAGAAAGAAGTTGTACAGATGAAAAACAAAGAACTGAAAGACACAACTGTTCTGTGCAAACCGTGAGATGTTTTGTTGATGAGTAGCATAGAGAAGGACAAGATGTTTGAGCATTTTACTGCAAAAAATATGCAATTTTTCAAGAACTTTACACCCAAAACAAATATATAAAAAATTAACAATATTTTATTTGTTCAAAATATTTGAGGAATCATAGTCTCCTTTTCCTCCTCTAACGAACTGCTGCTAGTTAAAAGTAATATGCCATTTATTAAGTCTTTAATTATAGGAAGTGCAAGGGTTACCACCAGTTCTCCAATTGAGAGGGAAAGGAGGGGAACACTATTTTACTTGTCAATGGAAAAGAAAAAAATATTCCCTTGTTAACAGAAAGAAGATGAAATCGTATATGAAATGCTTGATTATGAGAACATGCATCTGCAAGTAGATTTCAGGAATTCTCCTTGTTAACTTTTTTACAGTTAATTGTTGGTTATCACAGTTTGGAATACATGTTTGATATATGGAACCCTCTGAATAGCAGGACTAAATAAAAGGATCTTTTCACAGTGATGGATAAGTCACTAAAGCCATTGAAGCAGTACTCTGTTGTTAGTATTAAAACTAGTAGACTTTTTGGATGTATATGTATAGACACACTGTATTTATTACAAGTCAAAAGAGGTGAAGTTTATCGCTCTATACAAATCATTAATTAAGACACACACACACAGAATACTGTGTACAGTTTTGATATCCTTATCTAAGAAAGATTATTGACTTAATGGACAGGGTTCAGAAGAGGGCTTCTAAGGTGATTCCATGGATGAGAGGGGTATCTTATAGGGATAGATGAAGATCTCTTATTTTATCTTTAAAAAAAGAAGGGTAAAAGGTGATCTTACTGAAATTTACAAGATTATCTGGGTGTTTGATAGGATAAAGGCCTTATTTCTTTGTGCTGTGGTCTCTTGACAATAGGTCAAAGGGACACAAATTTCAAATTTGGAATAAACAAGTCTAGGGTTAAATTAAGACATGTTTTTCTGTGTGATTGTCTTATGAAAGGAGTTGCTGTCAGAAATAGTGAAGGCCAGTACTATACATAAGTTTAAGATGGGAATTGATCATACCCTTGAAAAATAGAGGATGGGCTCAAATTTTGCTTTTCTCAAGTATGGATATGCAAATAAAACATTGAATGAACAAAGGGTCTATTGTTGTCTGTATATTGATATATTTGAATGTTTAGATTTTGTATGGAAGAACTATTTAACACATTTAGGTTTAATGTGTGGGGATATTATGATGGTAGCTGCCAGGGGTGAAATTTAAAAAAAAACAAAAGTAGAGGTACTCAGCTGAATGAAGTGGACTTGTTTTTAAAAAAAGAAAAAATTATGTGTAAACATAAAAACGACAAAGCAGATCAAATAAATCCCTTAAAAAATAAGTTCCATTACTCAGTCCCGGTGAGTACTAGCAGAATTTCACCACCGCTATTTGCAATTTTTGACCTTGTTTGGTGGTTCAGTCAAGATAACTTAAAAATTTTTTCATTCCAAAGCTTTGCATTAAAACCAAAAGTATTTTTCTAAATGTTTCAATAGGTGAATTAAACTGCTGGTAAATGATGAATTCCTAATTTAAAGGAATGTGAGATACATATTAGCAGAATTTAAGATGCTGAAATTTATTTAAATGAATGGGATAAAGTCAAGATAGCTGTAGTCAAAACCATTAACAATTATAAAAGTGTATTTGTTGAAAACATCAAATTTCATTTTGAGGATTTTTATACTTGTAAAAAAAAAGAGTGAAGGTTAACTGTATTTTTAGATTTTAAAAAGAACTTTATTGTTCAATGAACAAACACTGCTGTAGAGATAAATTATTTTTCTTTTTTTTTTTTTGCTTATGTGCTCTTAATGGTGAAAGTAAAGAAGAGATTTTCTATAAGCTGCCAATTTCTCAATGTATGGAGGATTTTTTCTAAATGTGTTTAAATAGAAGAAAGAGCTGTGTTAGATAGTAAAGCTTGTGGCATTGTTATGAAAATTTGAAGAGGCAGTGAAGGCTTTAACCCTCTCCACACAGGTCAAAGGTCATGTCATCTTGTTTGTTGACTCGCATTAAAAATTTTATTGAACTACTATTTTATGAATTTATGTCAATAAGTTTTGTATTAAACTGTAGGTTATAATTCAAATTCTAGGATTATACATTATTTAATATCTTAATTTAAAAGTAAATATTAACCCAATACCTACCGGAGCCATTTTGTCTTATTGGGAGAGCAAATCGCATTTGTGAATTGAAAAAATTATAGAGAACTTATCTTTTATTGGTTTTCAGATTTTATTTTTGTAAATAGTAGCATAACATTAATTTATTTGTACTAAATAGCAGTATTTAAAGAAGTTTGAAGAGAAATTTAATAAAAAAAATTCCAAAATATGTTTGAGACTAAATAAGCACCCTACAAGAAAAAACGATTTTTTTTATTTTTCCTTGCACTTTAGCACTGGTTCTGCCATCTGTGATTTGTATGTAAACCATTTTCTAGTCTATTTTCTTTAGTAAACAGCGTCTGGGCATGTTAAACCTTGTTTGTAAAACATTTAGCCAATCCTAGTTGATGGTGTCAATTTCAGTATCCTATTATTCCAATTGCTGTATTTCACGTTTAACAAATCATAGGATTATAAACAAAGTACGTGAAGAAACTTTTTCTCTGTAATTTACAATATGAATGTATGTGATGTTTTACTAGTAGGCAATAGTACTTCCTTATAAGCCTTAGAAAATTTTCTTCTGAAAAAAACTGCTTTAGATGTATATGACTTTTATTATTTTTGAATAGTAGCTTAAATCATGGCTATATTGTATATCTATTTATATTAATCATTATATTGAAAAATTAACTCTAAAATAGATATATTTTTTAGGAAGAAGTTGATCCAAGAATGTTA